TTGATGGATGAACACAATGACTTTTGTACCTGGATAGTACTAATAAAAATTTCTGAAATAGCAGCTGCATACTAGTATATATAAAGAAGTAGAAGAATAACATTAAATTATAGCTGTACCATCTTAATTTTTGTGACTTTTAAGCCATGAAATACTGTGTAGATCTAGAGAACTGCTGTGCAATATTGAATTCTGCCATTTATCTTAAACTAGGAATAAGTGTAATACTGAATATCATTAGACTTAATAAGGGAATCATCTTAGTTGTTCTCAAGAGGTAATTTTGAACAGGAAAAAAAAAAAAACCAAACCCCAAACGGAGTTTATATTCAGAGTTGCTAGGGAATTAAATTAAATGGTTGCCAAGGTGAAATAATATATGAAAATTCCTGACATACATTATCCAAAGGTTTCTGTAGTCTCATCTTCCATTTTGGATCACTCTTACCAGTAGTTTGAATACACACATACTGTTGCTAAGGGCTGATGCTGTTGCCAGGTGAAAATGGCCCATATTAACCTGCCACAAATATCTAAATATGTTGATAGAAGATAGGAGAAACATGTATTGGAAGATTGAATGATCTGTTATTTCTTATCTGAGACATAACAGTGAAGTGACTTTTCTTACTCTTTGTGCACATGAACTCTAGCCCATAAAAATATCAGTAAAGTACCCAACAATAATGATGATATTATTAAATGAACATTGTGTTCTATAGAATATAAATCTTAATCAGGCATTCAATGTAACCTATAAAGTTGCTACTGAGGGAATATAGCTGAAGTCAGATAGTGTGTAATTCAGACTAGCAAAGACATATGATCATTGCTTCTATATCTTTAAAATGGATTCTTTGAAGCCATTCTTTCTTCTTAAATGTTATGAAATTTGAGCACCATTATCTCAAAGCAACTAAGAATATGCTTGAAGTAAAATGATGAAATAGATACTGTGAATGAAAATGAACAGGTGCTTTAGTTGCTATGTGTCACATAGGTAAAAGGCAGCTTTTTAAATGCTGGCTAAATTGCAGTCTAATGTCTTTCTGGCAATTTGCATAGTATTGCCAATAATATTTTGTAGTACAATATTGCTTGTAAAATCTTAGTCATTTAAGGGAGCAGCTCCTTGTTTATAAATCAAATAAAGAAGGGAAATCAGCAGAAGCCATTAGACAGAAGTATCCATACAGAAGGGCTTAAAACAGTTACAGTATCCTGTCTGGTGATAAAGACAACTACAATACACTACATGCATATAATTCTAGCTTTCATTTGTCAGTATTGAGTACAGAGCACTGACATACACTATGCTACAGAAAAATCTATTGTATTTTATGAAATTACGCATTTTGAGAAAATAGTTTACACAAGGGTAGTGTGTAAATGGCAAAGTCACAGTGTTCAGCCACAGTTTTCTCTCTCTTTGGGACTCTTCCTAAAAGACATTTAAGCATCTTCTACATCTTTCAAGGCAGCTCTATTCTTGCTTTTCCCAGGCTTTAAGAGAGACTTGTAAAAAGTCACTTAAGATTATGATCTTTACAAACATCTGTTTGCTGTTCTACCCAAACTCAGAAGAAACTCTTGAAGTCACAAAAGCTAAAAAAGCACGACTGCTCTTCTGTTGTGGAAGTTTGTGTCTGTATGCTTAGCTTTGACTGACACATCATTTCTTCTCTAGACCCCAATCTATTTTCTGCCTCACTAAACTTACAAAACTCTGCATAAATTGTTCTTCTCAGCTTGTTCTGTAATCCTATGAATACACAGTCTTCCTGTTCATCCCTTCAGTCAGTAAGTGCCAGCTGTTGGGTCCTGGAAACAGTTTTATTTTTGTGAAATAAAAAAGTGGGGGGGAAAAAAAAGTAGTTGATCAGAAAGCTGTGAAAACAAGATTGCACTGAAATATTGAATCAGAATGTTGGAGCCAAGTAAAAGAAATTATTATGGTTTCTATCAATCAACATAAAAACAAACTTACACTAGATAAGTTTTACATGAAAAGATAAAACTGAGTGATTTCAGTCTAAACTAATTCCTTTTTGATTGTTCTGTTAAGCATGAAACAGAGGTCATGCTGAGAAATTATCAAAAAAAAAAACCCCACCTCTGTGGAATGAATGTAAATTAATTATCTTGATATATTTTGCCATATTGCATCTGTCAAAAATGTCCTCATTTTTAATGGGAAGCACACAACACTCCATGCATGCCCCTATCATATTTTCACAAGTTATAAAACACGTGCATTTGCAATACTTGGAATGGAAGTATTTATATATTTTATCCAAGGGCCATTAATATGAAATTATATAATTAACACTGAGTAACTCATATGAATTACAATGGCTTCTAGGAGGCACCGCCTCCAAAGGGACAGAGTGAGAAATGAAACTGGTCTTTATGGAGATGCAGTGGGATAGAGGTTCATCTTCACGTGGATCTGAGCTCCTCCTGCAGAGCTTTGAAGTTACATGAATACCTGTGATATGGAGGAGAATGACACTACCGGATTGTGGTGCATTAATGTCCTGCCTTGTTGATGTGCCACATCCTCCTTGCCCTTTTATGTAAGAAAGAGGAAGACAGCAGGTCTTGCCAACATACACTGCAGCAATGGCATCTCCTATCAACATTCTTTGCATTTGAAGACTTTGCATAGGCCAAGAAAATATCAGAAATGATAGATCTCTCTTGAGAGCCTATCATGTGGGACCTGTTTTGGTAAGAAACAGTATTGTTGACAGTACTGTCTTGTACAGGTGTCACCTTTCTTGTTCAACTCCTCTTTTTTTTCCCCAAGTAACAATTCTGAAGTGGCGAAGAGTGGTCCACATCTCACCTCACTATGTGTTGTCCAGCCCCTTCTGTCTGGTGACTGGGGTAAAGAAAACTTGCTGACCTTTTTTAGGCGTAGTATGTGAAGCCTCAGACTTCTTCCCTATCACTATTTTCAATTGAGTTGTCACTGTTTTTCAAGACGAGTTACGTAGCAAATCTGACAGGGGCTTAAAGGGTAACCCTATTCTTGAGAAGATCTACTTTTTCCTCACTATTTTTCTTGGAAACAGCTGATGTCTCAGCAAAGAACAGAAGTGGTGCATGTAGCTAAAGAGATTGGAGAATCCAGAAAGACTTTTGAATTGCTAGGGGGAAGTGGGTGCTTGTTTTGGAGACCTAGGGAGTTACATCTGTCCAAACAGAAGTCACACTTACAGTGTCATATGCCAAGATTTCCCCACTGCCTATAAACTGGATCACTTCAAGTAACATCTTGAAATTCTGGTAACCTCTGGAGTCTGGATGTATGTGATTGTTATTTCATTTTCAAATTAATAGAATTCAGTGGTATCTCCATACCTGTTCCTCTTGCACTGAGAAATGATGTTCCCAAAGAGGAGAATACACAGGCGTTTTGTGTTGACTTTTGGAGATCGCTAGTCTGCTCATAGGTGGGGGAGAAGTACTGGTTTAAATTCAAAATAGTTTCAATAGTAACTTACCATGACAAAAAAAAAGCAAACTTAAACAGCATTCCTGCTGTGTTCCTCTGTCTTTAATCTGTATGTCAAGATACATTATGCCTTTGTGATATGTAAAAGAATATAAGGCCTAATTCAAATTAAAAGTTCTGCAATAACTAGTTGGTGTGGTTGGTTGTTGTGCTAACAGTAACACTGCAATATAGGAGCTATAAATAACAATATAGCAATGAATTCAGAAGTCTGCTAAAGAAAAGTACCAGATTTCCCAACAGATACAATACCATGATAAAACATCTGGAATAATCTTATCTTACTGATAATTTTGAAATTTCTGTAGAGAAAGAAATAATTTACTATTATGTATTTATATCTATTCATATTCACATGCAAGTTTTAGTATAATCTTAGAATTTGCTGATCAGAGGAAGAAACAGAACTATTATTTAATGAAAACATTGTCAAGCAAGAGCCACTAATAATATAAAATACTTTGTATCTGTTTCATTTGCTTACTGGCAAGGCTTGGATAATGGGATACAAAAAGATAATAAAGTCTACTCATTCATTCAGAGAACTCTGAGAACGCCTAAGAAGATTCACCCAGGTAGTCAAAATCAATGTGTACTACCACAAGTGTTAAGCTAATTAGGGAAAACTCATAATTTCTTGTAAGAGTTAACCAGATCTTCTAGACAGGCCAGTATTGTTTTCTATGTTTTCTGGAATTGAGGTGCATGTAGAAATATGGAAACTTCCTTTTATTTTTGTGACTTGATTCTTTGCAGTTTTTCAAGTTCCTTGCTTTTTTCTTTGGATATCCTTTGAAACTAGTCAGTAAAACAAACCTAAAGAGCACCACTGATAAACTTTATAAATCACATTTTAAAACTTTAATATACTTTGAGCTTACTAGATCCTACCTAATATCCTATGAAGGAGAAATATAATGTATAAATCATAAGGTTTTCATCTTATGTTACTCACAGCTATCTGATATTACTCATAAAGGACCATGTAAGGCATTGTGTTTATGAGTAAGATTCAGAGAAATTGCTCCATTCTTATGAATGTTTTACTGAGAGTATGGAAACAGGATGGAGTCATAATGTTTATATGGAAGATCTTAAGCAAAGTAAGATGCATCATCACAGGAAATGGTCTTCCAGCTGTGTCCTCCATCTTCAACATATAAATATGAAATTTCTCCCTCTCTTTTATCTGGTCTACCCACTTTCAAGGTAATGATGGAGGAGCCCTGTTATGTTCTAGAAGGATAACAAGGAGATATCATGGGGACAGTGGTGGAGAAGCTTGTCTTTTCTTTCCTGAAAGTACTACAATAATATGTATATAGTCTTTTCTTCTGGCACGGAATAAACCATGGAGTTCTGACAAGACAAATACCTACCTTACAAATATATGCATATCAAATGCATTTCCATACACATTAAAAATACATGTATGCTATAAAATATATAATCATACTATTGAATGGTATATTTTCCATAGCAGGTGGAGCCAGAGTTCAGAGAGGTCTTATTATAATCAGGACAAAGTCACACCAAATCAACATTTTTAGACCCAAAGGAAAAACGTGGAAGTAAGTGAAAAATTTGTAATGCTTAAAATGAAGACATTTCTGGTTTTACAAAATAAATAGTAAGTTTAACACTGCTAAATAGTGTTAAACTTACTATTTATTTTGTAATATTATATTTATAATAGAAAACCAGACTTGTTACAAAAATATACAGCATTTGGCAGATCATAGGGATTTGAAGTGTTTATAATTTTTTATGTCAAATGTCATATCTAAAATTAATCTGACTTTCCAAGCAAACCTTTTTATAGGCAATATTGATGTATATAACATCCTCCCAACACTGTGTTTTAATTTAAGTTTCTGAATAAAAACAAATTTTCTATAAAAACAACCAAAAAAAGTTTTTTGCAGCAGGGTATTAATGAAATTGGCACAGTCACATGAATAAGCGGCAACTATTGTTTTATAATTTCTGTGAGTAGTGAAAACAACTGGCATAATAAAAAGACCACAGCAGAAGAATTCTAAAGGACTTATTCCTGCTTTTTGGCTTTACAACCTGGTGTCATCTATGACTGCATGTCCCTGTGCTCAAAATTATGCAAATGATCTCTTCTTGTAAGGAGAAAACTGTTATGTCCAGATTTACAGAGAACCATCCTCTTTTTCTCTGATTTCCTTTTCTGTCATTGGATTTTACACTCAATTTATCAGGCAATTAAAACTTCAATCAACAGTTACATAGCAATTGTGCTATAAGGGGAATATATTGCAAACAAAGGTTTGATTAACTCCTGGACATGGCATTAAAAACTGTAGCTGGGGTCTGTGTATCATCCTGATAACAAAACAAAGCACTTACTCCTTAATTGTCCTCTCTGGTGAACAGAGGAAAGGATGGGATGTAATGGGAACGAAGATAAAATATGAACTAGGCAACAGGTATCCAATTTCAAACTTTGGTCAGTGAGTAAAAACAACTGCCCCCTTGTATCTCTTTAATTACCATAAAATTATTTGATAGGTTTTTGAGAATTCAGTACATTGCAGATGCTCAGCTGCCACTAGCAGATTTTCTTTTTTTTCATAGTTTCAAGGCAGACCATAAGCATAATTCAAGGAAAGCTTTCACTTTTAGGGAGGAATATGATTCAGTCTAATTTCTTAGACAAAATGTTTGTGCTCTCATTCTGGTTATATATATTCAGGAATTTCCACCTGGACATGAGGAAGAATTTCTTTACTGTGCAGGTGAGCACCAGAACAGATTACCCAGGAAGGCTGTGGAGCTTCTGTCACTGGAGAGATTCAAGACCAGTGTGGAGAAATCCTGTGCTGTGGGCTGTGGGATGGCTCTGCTTGAGCAGGAGGATTGCATCAGATGACCTACTGTGGTCTCTGCCAACCTGACCCATTCTGTGATACTGAAAATTTGATGTCTAGGTCAGTAGTTTGGCTTTTCTTGTGATGGCCTCATCACTTTGAAAATCTACACCAGCTTTCACAGTACTAAATAAGAGATATGTTGGAGCTTGGCCCTCCATGAATTTCTCATATAACTTGTATTCATTCCATAATTCCTTTAAAGATGCTTTCCCAACTACATGACTTCTGGATTTCGTGAGTTTTATCTCGTGTAGAGCAGCTGTTCAGAAAAAAATGTACAAGATCTAGTCCAAGCACTGTTTCATGATACAAGTTATGCAAGCATGTTCCAGGAGAAGACTAAGTATCAGATATTTAGGCTGGTTACACAGGAATTTATTCTAATACCAGACCTGTCATACCTCAAGTGTTACTTTCATGGCTTGAGTGGAACTGTAGGCCTATTGTGACTGAAATGATAATGAAATTTCTTATTTACGAGTAAAAACCTATGCATGTTGTACTTCTAACATTTTTTCTCTACAAGACAGCTCTGTTCTGTGACTAGGAACAAACCATGAGCTGTCAAGAGAATTCTTAAGCAAAGAAAGCACAGGGAGAATAGGAATGCAAAGCACAGGTCTCATCATGACATGCCTTGCTGCTTAAATTTCAGACTAAATGATCCCTGCTCTCAACTCTAAACAAATAATTGTGTCCTTCATAGCATTTTTTAAAAGAGATAAGGCCTTATCCAAGTCTATGAGTGGAAATGAAGACCTTTGCTTGATTTCAGTGTTTCACATAAGTTTTTAGAGATCAATGAATCCCAGAAAATAAATTTTCTATGGAGGAACAGAGACTCTGTGTGCATAGAAGAGGGAATGAAAAATGAGGGAGAAAGAAAATAGAAGAAATAATGAAACTAAAGGCATGTGAAGGGAAGTAGGAATGGGGGAAAAAGGAAAACAAGTTTAGAGAGAGAAACTTAGAAGAGAGAGACATAAAAAGGCAAAAGGAAAAAAGAAAAGGAAAAAAGTGAAAGAAAGAGGAAAAATAAATAGAAGAATTAAGAGAATTGGAGAAAAATTAAGTGATCAAACTTTCGTTTTTTGATCAAACAAAATTCTTTAAAGTGTGATCGTCCTTTACATATACATGAAAAAAATAAGAAACAGGGAAAAAGATAAAGAAAAAGTTAAGAAAGAGGAATAACACCCACTCAACATCTCTGCCAGTGATGTGGAGGAGATGGAGGGCACATGTATCATGTCTGCAAAAGGATCACTTTATATTTTTGGGGCTAATGAGATAAATATAGAGAAAAGGTAAAAAGCTAATATGCAATATTTAAAAATGAGAATACTAGACTTAAAATGTCGTACTTAATGTTTCTCCTTTTCTATAAAAGTAATTGCTTTGTGGTTCATAGGTTGTTTCACAATTTTTGCTTCAAAAATTTTTAGCTGTGTTTTTATTGTAGGTAGAATTCTTATTTAAAAGAGTTTTATAAGGGCATTATTGTTCAGAAAAGGTCTTGACAATTAAGCAATATATTTCATATCAGTCCTTTTGAAATTCCAGCTTATCTGTGTTTCAATATCTTATTTATTCACAATTAAATATTTGTCTGAATTACCAGGGTTATTTCTTTGCTCCAGTTGACTTGTCAGATTTATACCAGAGTTGATAAAACAGTTTTCTTAATTCAGAGATGCCAGCTTGTCAGAACCTAAATCAAGGTGTTTCTTTTAAAGCTCATCGTGCACCAGGAAGTCTTCTGTGAATACAGGGATACAATGCTTTATGTTTGCTCTTTACTTTTCCCCAGAGGTGTGGTAATATACAATTGTGAGTAAATGATAAAGTGAATTTCCTCTTTTATTCTTACTCTATTTTTTAATTTATTTTTGTGTTTTCTCTTCTTAAACCTAAATAATCTCTCAAGTCACATTGAGTCCAAGAGTTTATAAAATTTCAGATTCATTCCTGTGGTTTTTTCATTATTACTGTAACCAAATTCAGAAGGACAAAGAAGAAAATTCAAAATCTATTAACTTTCCACCAAAGGAAATTTAAGCCACAGTAGCATTTTCTGTAGTGTTTTACAGATGTCTTTCTTCCCCTTAAAAATAATGATTAAGAAATTATATTTCTGCAGTGTAAAACTCCATAATCTGTGTTATAAATGAAAGATTTAAGAAGTCTACAGTACTATGTCTAAAGGGGGATGATTAGTTGAAATAAAGCGCTACATAAGAAATTATATCCTAAAAGCTATCATTGTGTCATTAATCCCTGAAATCAACAAACTCCCAGTACCTTCTCTGATAGCATGCTTCTACCCTGAAATTTATATATCTAGAGCTGTCGGTCTGTCTATCTATCTATCTATCTATCTATCTATCTATCTATCTATCTATCTATCTATCTATATCTATCTATCTATCTATCTATCTATATCTATCTATCTATCTATCTATCTATCTATCTATCTATCTATCTATCTATCTATCTATCTATCTATCTATCTATCTATCTATCTATCTATCTATCTATCTATCTATCTATCTCCTTATCTCTAATCAGCTACTCTGTATTAAACTAAGGAAATTTCCCCAAACATTCTCAAATAAATGTCTAATATGAGTGCCACTATTTAACTGTTTTTTAAGTACTCAGAGACTGATCATTTGAATGTATACTGCTACAGTTTTAGGAAAATCTATAACCATATATCTAAACAGAGGCTTTCTCTTGACACTGAAACTCAGTCTAGTTATACACTGACAAAGAACAGAATATTGGATTACTGAAAACAGTAGTTCAATTAATTTTCACAGAAATTGGGTTAGTGAAATGTATTATGAAAGCAGAACAGATTTCTAGAACTTTTGTTTGAGACTTTAAAAAGTATCTATTCACCTCCCTATTAATCTTTAGTATTTCTGGTTCATATGTTAATAGTAAAAAAATTGTGGCAATGTTACTTACATAGTTGCGTTGCAGCATACAGTAGCACATAAGAAATGACAGAAATCATAAAATTACTTGAGGAGTCCATGATGTAAATTTATGGTAAAAATGCAGGAGTACTCATGTGGGCTTTATTCTACTGTCACTCACACAGAATCACAGAATCACAGTCACAAGGTTGGAAGAGACGTTCAAGATCATCAACTCCAACCCATGCCCTAACACCTCAAGTAGGTCATGACACCAAGTGCCACATCCAGTCTTTTTTAAACACTGCCAGGGATGGTGACTCCACCACCTCCCCAGGCAGAACATTCCAATACTTTATCACCTTTTCTGTAAAATCTTTTTCCTAAAATCCAACCAATATTTCCCTTGGTGCAGCTTGAGACTGTTTCCTCTCGTTCTGTCAGTTGCTGCCTGGTGAAAGAGACCAGCCCCCACCTGCCTACAAACACCTTTCAGGAAGCTGTAGAGAGTGGTAAGGTCACCTCTGAGTCTCCTTTTCTCCAGGCTAAACAACCCCAGCTCCCTCAGCCCTTCCTCACAGGGTTTGTGTTCCCAGCCCCTCACCAGCCTCGTTGCCTCCTCTGGATGTGCTCAAGTGTCTCAATGTCCTTCCTGAACTGAGGGGCCAGAACTGGACACAGCACTCCAGGTGTGGCCTCACCAGTGCCCAGTACAGGGGGAGAATGAACTCCCTGCTCCTGCTGGC